TGGGCTCCCCGTCCCCTGGCCGTGCTCGCAGGGCGCCTTTTGGCTCTGACATCTTCAGAACACTTACAAAATCTCCGTCTTTTTTTTTTTTTTTTATAAATTGTCAGTGTTTTTTCCCTCTACGAACCTGTAGCATCTGGCAGCAGGAAAGTACAGTAGGACTCGCTGGCACCGTGGTGCAGAGCCTCGAAGAATTCCGTATTGTGACAACACATCAAAATAAATTGCTGTCAACAGACCAAAACACCAAGTGCTGTGATTCTGCCTGACGTGTGAAGACTCAGACAGGCTGTCTTGACAAGTTGTGGTGGAGCACCTGCAATTGGCAGAAGACAGTGATATAAATCTGATTTGCCTGATATGCAGCACCTAGATATCGTTAATGTTGGTGACAATAACTCTGCATAACATTCCCGAGACATGGATCTGATTTTTTGTCTATTACTTGTGTTGTTTTTTGTCACTCTCTGATACTAGCTCTGCTTCCCTGCCCTGCTCAGGGTCTGCCTAGGAATTGTGGTGAATAATAAATGGTATTAAAAAAAGGTAATAACAAATTAAGGTTTAATTCAGCCTCTTCTTGGGTGTAAGAAAAGGCAGTCATTGTCCCGGCTGCTCAAGGCAAAAGCTACGCCATGAAATTTTATTTTACACTAATCATAAAAATAATCATGGTGGAAGTTGTATTAATTTCCTAACTCGCAGCCAGAGTATTGAAAATAGCAGGGTAAGAGCCATGAGCTGCAGTAAATCTCTGCTGAAACGTATGTGGGTTTAAACTTCTAGAAGAGGAAAAGAATCGTTGAATAGGTGGTTAATTTTTACCTTTCGTTATCAATAAATGGTAATTCTTTACAGTAGCAGCATATATCACAGCTCATTTATGAACACGTGAAACACATCTTGGCTCTGGAGTTTAATTACTGGAAGTTAACCCTCTCTTCCCTGGCTCAGCCCTTCCTTGCCAGCACCACCGTGATGGGTTTCACCCCGACGCTGGCAGGTACTAGAGAACAGCGGCGCACATGAACTCCAGTTTCTGTCTGTCGCCGACCCCGTGCATATTTCGAGTCTCGGGATTTGAAACGTTTTTGCGTGTGGCCATTGCAGATGATGTGGGGAGTCATTACGGCTTCGGGCAAAAGCACACAGGCTGAAGACAATCTGCTTTGCTGGTGGCGCTTTGGCTTTGGGGCTGGAGCCACCCCTTTAGCCTGAGCGGGGGCTCGAGAGGTGCAGGTGACCGCGGCGGGTCCCGTGCGCGGGGCGGCGCGGGCGTGAGGACAGCCCAGGGGCGCCGGCGGCGGGGGGGTGGGTTATTATTTATTTATTTATTTCTGCAAAATGTGCAGGAACTCCTTGGGCTGCGAACTTCGGAAATGTCACTGTCCAGTCCGAGAGGCTGCAAGAGCAGAAAAGAGGTTTTTGAAATTACCATTCATTCTTGTCTGTATTGTTATTTTATCCCTTAAAGGCTGCTAATGAGAAATAGAGCCTCATTATGATTTTAAGGATGAGAGAGGAAGGCTTTTAATTAATGATATGTAAATGGTCTTGAATTGATTATGTTAGAATATCAAGAGAGATGGGTAGAAGCTGTGGTGTAATATATTTTAATTAAGAATTAATTAAAAATGATGGCAATTTCATAAAGCCTCACAGAAAATAGTGGAATTTACTTTCTGTCAGGAGTAAATTAGCCAGTGATTAAATAAAGGGCCTGCATTAATAGTGGAGTTATTTTTAAACTGTGCTATGAAGAATTGTGTAATTTTCCCTAAATAAGTAAAATAAAAATGTAATGTTTGCAAACAAGTTTTGGAAATGACGGCAGAATGCAAACTTTGTTTGGTGCCCTCCTCGTGCCACGGTACTTTAGGAAAGTGGTTTTAGGTGGTTCACACGGAAGGCGCGGTGGTTCCGGTGGGCAGGGCCTGGCCGCGGGCGGTGCTGGGCATCGGGGGCGGCGGGAGGGTGCTGGGGGGG